TAATATTATATACAGAGTGTTCCATTTGAAAAATCAAAGTTGCTACTGCTTTCTAATAGAAGCGGCAACACCGCATTGTCGAAAATATTTTAGTTGGCTAGAGAATGTCCGAATATGCCCTCCATTAAATTTTCAAAGTGATCCGTTGTCTGGTTCACCAGAAACGTCTAATGTGCCATCCACCGAGAATCAGCCTGTAGATCATGGTGATATCATTGATGCAGCTAGGTGTTTGAAGATAAAAAAGTGGATTGGGCCTGTGAAAACTATCTTTAACCTGTCCTTGAGAAGCAAAACATTCCCTTACATCTGGAAAGAAGTAAAGGTTATTCCAGTCTTCAAAATAGATGACACAACCAATATTATCAATTACAGGCCAGTGGTAGTGTTATCAGCACCAGCCATACTTTTTGAGACTGTCATTGTCAAGCATCTCTATAGATTAGTTTCTCCTAAAATATCACAGTTCCAACATGGCTTCATGAAAAAAGATCCACTGTTAGTTATATTAGCAATGTTACCCAATTTATAGCTGAAAACTTGGATAGTCGAGATCAAGTGGACATTATATACACCCACTTTGCTAAAGCTTTCAATAAAGTCTCACATCCTATTCTTCTAAGAACCCTAGAATATGATTTTGGTTTTAAAATTTTTCAGTTCATACCTATCTAACGAAAACAAAGTGTAATCGTGAAAGGTAGTAGCAGTAGACTTTATTTTAGGAATCATAATATACAATATATAGTTATGCATATATGAATAATTTATACAGGGCTTTTCATGATGAGCGTTAATTAGCCGTTTCTGGCAAACTATTCAACGGATCAACCTGAAAATTCCATAGTATGCATAAGTCAACATGACCTACACGCCTAAAATATTTTAGACGAAGCGGCGTTGTCGCTTCTACTATAAAGTAGCAGCTTCTTTGATTTTTCAAATGGAACACCCCGTATATAATATCATATTATGATTCATTATCACTTTGTCAACAAATTCATATACTATTTCGCTATACCTATCTATTACCGTATAGAAGATATAAATTAATTTCGATATTTTTTTTACCAAACATGAACTTTTATAAACGCTGATAATCTTGAACTCTCTTGCACTAAAACGATCAAATTTGAAATGGAGTGGAGTGATACTATGAGGATCTTCACTTCGAGTCATATTTTCATTTGCCTCATACAGGGTCTTCAAAAAATGCAGATATTTTGATATTGGCAGATATTCTTCATATAATTTGTAAACGAGGCTGTATTTAAGTTTTTTATATCTTCTGGTAGTTTATTAAATAAAATAGAATCATAATAATTTTTCGAAAAACGGCAGTGATTTAGTCATGTGAATTCAATTTTAATCTGTTTGATTGTCTGGTGTTATGTGAATGAAAATCGTTAGAACTTTTAATCATAGCATTCCATAAAAATTCATCGGATTTATCTGAAAATAACACACAGTCTTCAGACACGGTTTAAACATGAATATTGAATGGAATACTTCATGGATATTGATATATTTTTTCAGGTAGATCTCGGTCCTTTGCAGATAGCATACAGAGAAGCCCCAGTGAAAGAGGTGACCGATACTTTGACTGTGGACACCAAAATTGGAAACAGTAAACAGTTCGTCAATATCAAGTTGAGCTTGGTCCCTTCATTTGGAAAAGAACATGGTGGAGACATACTCAAGCTTGACAGGAGTCCTGAATACGCCAGCAATATCTCAAATATATTCCCAAAGCATTTAGTTGCCATCAGACAAGGTAAATGAAAGTAATTGTTGGACTTGCCTGTTTGATCGTGATAGTAATATTCTTTCTTGGAAATGGAAAACCCTAAAGAAAGAAACATTTTTAACGTTCATACAGTGCGGAAGTAAATAGTTCTTCCCCCTCTTAACTTCGAACGGGGAAAAATATTAGAGTCGGACAAAATTCTTGTATGAAGGAATAATTTTTAGTACTTTTTGAGATGAAAGACAATAGTATTGCACCATTCGTCGCCTAAAGGCGACTCACATAGTTTACAGGTAGCAATTATAGAGGCAATATAAGACTAGTCTATAAGTACATAAGTAGAAAAGACAACAAACATAGTATGTTTCAACACGCCCAACAAAAAAATGTACATAATATAGTCCGGTGTTAGAAATGTCTGTATGTAACCAATTAATTCATTACTTTGATACCAATAAATTGTTTATAGGCAACCAATCAGGTTTTAGAGCTAGACACTCATGCGAAACGTCTCTACAATTTTTAATAACTGAATGGAATAATACAATTGATAGAAATCAATACATTGTTGCGACATTTCTCGACCTTAAAAGGGCATTTGAAACAATTGATCGAAATATTCTACTTGAAAAATTAAAATATTATGGGATATCAGGGATTGTTTTCGATTGGATTCAAAGTTACTTATTCAA